CACAACTTTCAGTGTAACTCACTGCAAACCAAGCAGTGCCCACACAATCTCTCCGAGGATAACAAATATTCCCTGGTCTGTTTACACTGAGTCATAATTAAAGAAATGTGTGTGAATGATCCCCTAGGCACCTCCATTCTTTTCCATTATAGAAAGAATCACCCTGAAAAAAATATACTTGCTTAAAATTATTGAGGAGAGTCTCCCACGCAGTACTAGTGTCAAAGTTGGTCCTATATTTTGACCTCCCAGGGATGGCAGAGTAACTTTAAGGTTTTATTGTGATTGTATTTCCATAAAAATGTCTAATTTACATTAGTTTGTAGCTTGACTTAGAATAAAAAAAGAAGAAAAGAAACAACTAACAAAGAGTTGGCCATAAGGAGAAATTATCAGGCTATTTACCATTAGCTGTAGAGCTTTAAATCAAACTTTCCAATTACATTGTATTATCTTTATATCTAAAAAATAGATCAGTTTATATTATGATTAGAAAACAAATTCATTATTGACAGGATTCTTTGCTTCTGTAAACATGAGATCTGCTACAGGGCATAGTGCTCACTACTGTGAGCAGTGCCATTGAAATTAAGGCCCTCTGCGTATTGTGAAAACATTTCTGAGAAACATTTATATAAATCAGGTTATAAGCAGGTTACAGGTTTTCTTGACACTTTTAGCTGTCCTGAGGCAAGTCAGTTGTCAACTTTGGTTCGTCGCTGTTTCTTGCTGTCATTTAGCAATAGTGAAAGTGTAACTATTTCCTCACAACAGGATTTAAAGTGCCTGTAACTTTAAATAGGTGAAAATATCTTCTTTGCTACAAATGCAGTAGGGACAAATCCCAAGAATAAGGTGCATTTATTATGATATTGTTGGGCCTGATCCTGCAAACACTAAATATTGATTGTATTGCTTACTACCATGAGCAGTTCCATTGATGTAGTTGCATATCAGAATGGATACACTGTAGTCTTTGATTTAGTCCCTACGGTATTTGTAGCAAAGAGACTATTTGCCCTTATTTAAAGTGTCAGACATTTTAAATGCCATTGCTAGGAAATACAGTTTCATTATTACTAAAAGACCACAGAGTATGTTTATATAGGACTTTGGAGCGAGTGAAAGCAAGCCTCCCAGCCCGGGTCAATGTACTCGGGTTAACAGGGCTCATGTTAGCACTCTCTATATAGCTGTATGGACAGCGCTTTGAAGTTGCAGCCTGAGGTTTGAAGCCTAGGGAAGGGTGGGTTGAGCTTCAGAGCCTGAGTTCCTAGCCCAAGCCGCAACGTCAAACAGTGTCTACACAGCTATTTTTAGCATGCTAGCGTGAGCCCTGCTGACAGAAGTCTGTTGACCCAGGCTGGGAAGCTCACTCCTGCTTCCCCCAAAATGATGTGCAGACATAGAGAAGCCAAATGAAAAGTTCAACCACAAGAATTAAAGTGGATGAAGAGAAGATAAAAATAATTGAAGGAGGAGTTTGTATCCTGCTTGGTACAAACAGTCTCAGAAAAGTTTCCGTAAAATTGCAAACAAAACAAAATACATAAAATGTCCATACTAAGGGAAAATCATGGCCTTTCAAAATAGAAAAATGCTTGAGTAAAAATAAATGTCATTATTGATTTGTGGGCATTTCATTACTTACAACATTTCTAAGGCTGAACTAGTAACCGTAAAATATTAAGGACACACTTTTAAAAGCCCAGGGTCTAATCCTGCCCATCTAATTCGTACCAGCAGTCCCAAGAACTTCAGAAGAACTACACTTGTGAGTAAGAGCTGCAGGATTGGGCTGAAAGCTTTTATAAAACATTTTTCAAAAAAGGTTACTCTCAATACTTAGTGGTTTCTAAAAATTTAAATTTCTAAAGCTATCACAAACCTTTTTCTATCATGATTAGTTTAAACATCTTAAAACATTACTATACAAAGGAGTTTTTTAGAATATTTAACATGCTTGGGATATCGGAATAATGAAAATAGAAATGGAGTCAAGAATTATGCACATATAAACTCCTGTTATTAGTAAAGAGCAAATTTTCTAAAAGAGCAGATTAAAGACTTTCCCCCCCTATGACAATAGAGTATTCGTAAAAGACACATGGAATTGTTTTTATTTTAGAGAGATTTAAACATTTATTTTGCACTTTTGTTACACTGACCAATACCTGGGTGCCTCAGCAAGAGAGAGGGATGATTTTTAAGTAATTTTTTTTTGCATTAGTATTTAGGCACTCGACAAGTCATGCAGAAGACACATGCAATGCATTATATAACAAATATATATGGAACCTTTTCTTTTCTAGGGGCTATGTTTTATATCAAGTATCTGGATATTCTGATCTCTAATTTCTATTTATTTTAATGATTTTATTAATAATGACTACATTAAATATTGTCTGAATCAGAGAAATGTATAATGGTCACAATGATGCAATTCCAAAAGATTTTATCCCAAACCATGCTTTTTGCTCTTGCACCTATTTTTACTAAGACATTAGAACCTGTGCCTATAATTTCTGGGACACGGCCTGATTCTGTAAACACTTAAGTACATGCATAACTTTAGTCACAAGAGTAGTGCTGTTGACTTCAATGGGATTAGTCACACGAGTAAAGCTATGCACATGCTTAAGTGTTTGTAGGATCTAGACCAATGAGACTACTTATTTGCATAAAATTACTTGTGTGTAAAATGAATCACAAATCACGGCCTTACTTATTACTTCATGGTGTGCTTACTACATTAAATAGTCCCACAAGCATAAATGGGACTTCTCGTGGGAGTGAGCACTACACCCTTTAGTAAGTATTTGCAGGATCAGGTCCTTAATTTTTAATGTAAAAAGGGATAGCAGATAAAATAAATTCTTAAAATTTCTCCTTGTGCTTGCTACATTATGTTTAACCAGGAACTTGGTAAAGAAATAATCCTGCTCAGCATCAGAATGTTGTATATAGGAAGTGCATGAAATGTAACCAAGTCATAAGCAGCTTTTGTTGTGTTGTAAAACTAGGCTAGTAAAACTAGGCTAACTAGTTAAATGCATACAAATGAATCAGCTAAGTGTGCACCCAGCTAGATTTTATGTACGGTGATTTTCAAAAGACTATCAGAGATTGCAGAATCTACACTCAGGTGAATTTATATAGTGATCTGTATAATGTTTTCTTTTATTTTCCCAGTCCAGTACTTGATGAGTTGTAAAGCTACTGTATTTTCACTCTCATCCCCTCCTCCTCCCACTCTGCAAGCTGTAGCTGTGCGTGAATCATTCTCACAGAATAGAGATGTTCAATTTCTGTGCTGTTTTTTTTTTCATTAGGAGCTGTTCTTCCAAAGGATATTTATGAAAACTTTTATATATCCTGGCAGTTTTCTGTTTCTGAGTTACTGAATTTAAATGAAGTTTCACAACATCTTCACACACACACACACACACACACACGCGTGTACGCAAAGGGCGTACTGCCTAGTAAACCATTTGAAAGCAAATCTGCTTTTTGTAATTTATCATCATGTTTCCCACTTCTCATGACATAGTTAAAATTCACTGAAGATTTGAACCTGCCTGGTGCTGAGCACTGTCAATTCCAATCAACTTTAACAGGACTTAAGAGTTCTCAGCACAGAATTGGGCACTAGAAAACTGTGAGTCAGAATCACCTTTTGAAGAAAAACAGATATTCATGCTACAGGGGATGTTCTGACTGAATTGTATATTCTTGCCTATACATTTGTGAAACATTTAACTATCCATTTAGTCCCATTTACTCTAAAGGCAGGTAGGAAAATATGTTGCCTAGTTTTCATTACAGTTTTAAACAGCTACTACACTGCCTAGCTTCTCTCTCACACACACAAAAAAGATGTTGTAGACACTAATAATTTTTTTCAGCACCATCCCCTAAATGACATTGCCAAGGAACTGCTTAGGAAAAATAGGGCACTTGCTCAAGCAAGTTAAATCAGGCAGTGTCTAGAGAAGGCAGCTACTGTCTCTACAGAGGGATTGTTTTCCCCTTTCTAAATTAAAAATAGAGGCACATTCATTGTAGAAGGGTGGTGATTTCTGCAAATCCTGCCAGCTGAGAAATTATAGTCAGGGAGCAAGCCTGCAAAACCCTTGCTCAGATAAGTAGCCCAGACTCATGCAAATACTCTCATCCACTTCAATGGGACTACTTCTGTGAGTAAGGACTGATCATGTGGATAGAGGTTTGCAGGATCAGGCCCTTGTCAGTACAGTATAATGAAAAGGCTCCTGAAATACCACAGAATAGCAAGCTCTCAGTGAACTGTGTGGGAACATGCTACATGTATTGCTATCTTTATCTAGAAAGCCCAGAGTCAGGGAATGCCAGGGCTGATGCTGATTTAAATTAGAGAATATCAAACTAATTTCCTGACAGTTCCAGTACTGACCTGGAGAGATGCCCCATATTTCTGCTTTACAATTGTTGGCAGCAAAAATATAAAACTGAAGAAGCTATTTCCAAATCATTTCAAGTTGCTAATTTTAGTTGTTTTGCTATTCTGTTGTCCTTTTCTTCCTGCAGTGCATCCTGCCGTTTACTGTAATGATTTGGCAGGTATCACTCAAAGCTAGTATTTTTCAGGTGGATAAATACACTTTGTCATCCCTGATCAATTACCTTACTTCTGTCTATTGTGCATTTGAGGCATGATCCAAATCCTACTGAATTCACTGAAATTCCCTTTGACTTCAGTGGCCTTTGGATCAGGTTAGGTCAAGACAAGTCAGAAAACATCAACTTTCTTTTAATTAGAGCAAAGGATGCCTAAATGAACTGAATGAATCTTCATGGGTTCAGTCCTGACCCCATGAGATAAAAACTCCCATTGACTTCAGTGGGAGCAGGATTTCACCAGATAGTTTTAGTAGAAGGGGAAAAGTGTTAAAATCCTCTCTCCCCTTCACAATCTGTCCAATTCCAGTCCCTTACAGGAGCCCCGGGAAGTGAGGACTCACCTGATTTGTCAGCAGAGTCGTCAAACTCCACATTGAAAGAGTGCCCATTGTTGACGATGTTTCTAGCTGTGGAGGGGTCATAACTGAAATGCAAAGGCTTCAGGGAAGAGTCGTACTCAGCGGACTCGGTGTTAATATCAATAGGGGACTGATGCTCTCCGTTGGCAATGGGGAAATTCTCATGCCAATGAGCAGGTCCTACAAGAGAAAACACACACACAGATCCAGTGTGAAAAAGATGCAGGCAAGGCACAGAGGGTGGAAATAATTTATAACAAACGCAATAGAGGAGTTGATGCTATAAGTGCATTTGAGGCTTTAACTCTTGCGTCAATATTTAACGATGCACCTGTCTTCGCCAGCTCCGGTCCTTGCCACATAAACCCATAGATCCTTAGAACTGGCCATTCGCGTTAGGGAGGCTCTGGTCTCAAGCGCATTAAATGAGAGAACTCACGAGACGCGGATGCGGTGTGGACGCAGGCGGGCCCGATCCTGCACTGACTGCCCGCCCAGCCCCTCACTGGATTTAGCAGGGGTTGGGACGTGCAGGGGACAGAGGTCGGACCTCTCCCCACGCCAACATCTGGTTTGAAGAGCTACAGTATATTGCTGTCACGAGTTTTGTAACAGCGTAGAAACCAGAAGATGCTCCAGCCTCCTCCACTAGCCCAGATCTGTTAGAGAAACTTAATCACAAATGACAGAGCCACCCTCGGCTGAACTGTCCAGCGGTTCGGGGAAATAGCTCGTGGGGCTGGAAAAAGGAAGATCGCTCCGGGACCGCGCACCTGCGTGGCAATGCCTCTGCCAGGAACTGCATTTCCAGGGGGACAGTGATTGCACGTCATCAGACCCCCCCTGCCCCCCCGCTCCCCCAGCTAGACAATCGGGGCTCCTAGGGGCCGGCTTCCGATCTCGCCCTCCCCACTCGCAACCCGGGGTAATTCCGGAGGCGCTTGCATGGGCTTCAGGGAGGTAGATCACGCTGGGGCCGGTCCCTCCACCTCTGCAGCGCCCCTAGCCGGCTCCCCGCTGGCGCCAGAGGCAATGCGATCCCTGTGCCAGCCGCAGCACCGCCCGGCTCCACGGCAGGGCATGCCCCGGACAGCCCCGCGCTGAGCGGAGCCGGCGCTGCCAAGGGGCAAAGAGCAGCCGGGCAGCCTGAGCCGCCCCGCCCGCGGGTGGCTGCGGCAGGTGCCGGCGGAGCAGCGAGGAGCCGGCCGGGGAAGCCCAGCGGGGACCCCTGCGGGATGGAGCCCGGCGCGCTGCAGCCTGGCTCGCTCACCGTTGTGGCTGGCGTAACCCCAGTGATGGGACATGGTCTCGCTCTTCTGGCCCGGCCGGCTCCTGCAGGACGGTGGCCCCGGCTCGCCGTCAGGGGCTTTTATAGGCTCCTGCCAACTCCATGCCCCCGTCTGAGGCCGGCGGGGGGAGGAGGGCGACTCCTGCTCCGGCTCAGCCCGCGCAGGGGGCGGGGAGAGGCAGGCGAGCCCTTTATAACCTGCTGTCGCCATCCTCCCTCCCGCCGCCGCCGCAGCGCAGCCCGGGACTGGCAGAGCCCATCCCCCTGCTGGCCGGGACCCCGGCAGGGCGGCCGGGATGCGCGAGCGAGCGCTGTCCTCACCCGCCCTGGGGATGCGAACCGGAGCGACTCCCACCGCGCCCGCCCTCCCCGAGAGCACCCGGCCGGCCCCTCACCTGCAGCGCGGGTGCGCACGCGGCCCTGCCTGCTTCCCTCGGCTCAGTCAGCCCTGAGCGCCGGGCAGCGCGAGCCCCGCGGTGACCTTGGGACGTGAGCGCGGGGCGAGCTCCGCTGCAGCAGGGCGGGTGTGGAGCTGGAGCTGGAGCCGCTGCCTGGGGAAAGCTGCTGGGGGGGGGAATAGTTAAGTTGCTGCTGCTCCCTGTCGGGAGCTGAAGGAAAAGGTGCTGCAATCAGGGCATTTATTTCTGGAGAGAGTCATTTAATCCGCTCAGGCTCAGAGTTTTCCAGAGGTGCCAACATTTGAAAGCAATTACTGGGGATTTATAATAGTCTCAACCAATTTATTAGAGGGAAACAATTGTAACATTGAAGAAGGGAGGGGGATGGGCCCTCCTGAGTAGGGACATTATTCACTATTATTTCATGGTGTGTTTCTATGATCACATCCAGAGAATGGTGGACTGTGTGACTTCCCCTGAAGTGAGTCTACACTGTTTACATTTACAACATCTCCTATTTCTATGTTCACCTTTGACAATTAACATTTGGTATATACTCGGGGTGAATAAATTACCAGCCTAAAATAACAGCATAGGACTGGTAAACCAATCCAATGAGCATGTGGAAATAAACCTAAAGCAGTGGAAAATAATACATGGCTTGGGTTTTTCTACATTGCCAAGCACCACAGTAGTTAATTGCTGGGTATGAAGGACCCAATCCTGCAAACCCTTACAGAAACGAAGCAGTTAACTTCACATTAGTGGTCCCATTGTACCCAAAGGTTGTGATACTACTTGTGTGTGTAAAGTAACTATTTTCATATGGGTTTGCAAGACAGGACACAATAGGAACATTTTTAATGTCCTGTTGGTTTGGTCAGTTTTGCATCAGAAGGGCTCTGCTATCCCATTTTCATCATCAAACAAGTTATAAACCAATATGCAATGAAGAGTATTAGTTTTGTTCTTAATCTGATTTAGCAATAGGGGGCCAAATTCGTTAGTTACTCCAGTGGTTCTCAAACATTTGTATTGGTGACCCCTTTCACACAGCAAGCCTCTCAATGTAACCCCCTTATAAATTAAAAAACACTTTTTTATAGTTAGCATTATTATAAATGCTGGAGGTGAAGCAGGGTTTGTCTGAGAACCCCTGAGTTACTCAGTTGTAGCAACATTGCATTATTCCACTGTGGAATAACAACAACACGGAAATGATATGATTTATATTGAACCTAATAAAATGTGTCCCATGAAGTCTTTCTGTGTAAAAGGGGAAGAGTGTATGCATATAATGTATTTACTGTTACTAACAGGAAAATGAACCAGCTACGAAATTGCTTGGAAGAAATAAAGACATTTCTTAGGCTTCTTGGAGGATTATCAGAAAATACTTGAAAGATTATTTCTGATTAACAAAGTATGCATGTTCTTTCATGCTTGTCTGATTCCATTTAAGTAGAAGTAGAGACCCCCAAAGCAGAAATGGGAAAGCAAAGCAATACTCATAGTGGTAATTTGGAAGTGGCTGTAATGTATGTTATGTGCAATACAATTGGAAATTTGCAGGGCAGAAATCCACTGGGAAATCCCACACTTGTTCATTACAGCCCCCCTTTTTTTTAGTAATCACTTTTTGGGATCTAGTATTTTTTCTCTCCATGAATATTGACACTCTCTCACACAAACATACATATTTAGACACAGACACCACATATACAGACACACACAGCCATGTGCACGCATGCACAGGCCATTCAAAAAATAACAGAAAGGCATTCGCTTTATGTTGTGGTCTTGCTGTACAAGGCAGGACTAGGATGTCTAGATATTTCATATGACTTCTTTTGCTACTCAGAGTTGGAAAAAAAGAACTGGAGCCTGATCCTGCCATCTTTTCACATGAAAGCTTCCATTGATTTCAAAGGGAGTTCCACATCCAGAGCAAGTACCGGCTCAGGCACTATAATGTTGGGCATGGCAGGCAGGCTTCCTCAAGGATCTGCTTGGCACTCCTACCAGGGCAAATGAAATGAGTCAGTCAGTAGCAGTACTAGGGGACTAAGATTTATTATTTCCTTTATCATCTGGTTCTGCAATAAAAAAATTATCAGATGGTTATTGCTATCTTATATCACGTATGTGCACACACACACACACAGGATCTACATTCCTTACAAAGTAAAGCATCAGAGTGCTCTACATCATCTTGCATGATTGTGCCCCCCTCGTGCAGTGTCTACTCCAGATCATGAATAGCCCACTGGCTCTGCCTTTGTGGATTCTATATCCCCAATTGACCTGTACTCCAGCCTCATCAAGCTTGAATTCTTAGGCTCTATGTGGGTCCAGTATCAGGGGGTAGCCGGGTTAGTCTGTATCTACAAAAACAACAAGGAGTCTGGTGGCACCTTAAAGACTAACAGATTTATTTGGGCATAAGCTTTAGTGGGTAAAAACCTCACTTCTTCAGATGCATAGAGTGAAAGTTACAGATGCAGGCATTACATACTGACACATGGAGAGCAGGGAGTTACTTCGCAAGTGGAGAACCAGTGTTGACAGGCCAATTCAATCAGGGTGGATGTAGTCCACTCCCAATAATAGATGAGGAGGTGTCAATTCCAGGAGAGGAAAAGTTGCTTCTGTAATGAGCCAGCCACTCCTAGTCCCTATTCAAGACCAGATTAATGGTGTTAAATTTGCAAATGAATGTTAGTTCTGCTGTTTCTCTTTGAAGTCTGTTTCTGAAGTTTTTTTGTTCAATGATAGTGACTTTTAAATCTGTAATAGAATGACCAGGGAGATTGAAGTGTTTTTGTATGTTACCATTCCTGATGTCCGATTTGTGTCCATTTATTCTTTTGCGGAGGGACTGTCCGGTTTGGCCAATGTACATGGCAGAGGGACATTGCTGGCACATGATGACATATATAACATTAGTGGATGTGCAGGTGAATGAGCCCTTGATGGTGTGGCTGATGTGGTTGGGTCCTCTGATGGTGTCGCCAGAGTAGATATGGGGACAGGCAACGAGGTTTGCTACAGGGATTGGTTCCTGGGTTGGTGTTTCTGTGGTGTGGTGTGTAGTTGCTGGTGAGTATTTGCTTCAGGTTGGTGGGTTGTCTGTAAGCAAGGACTGGCCTGCCTCCCAAGGTCTGTGAGAGTGAGGGATCATTTTCCAGGATAGGTTGTAGATCGTGGATAATGCGCTGGAGAGGTTTTAGCTGGGGGCTGTATGTGATGGCCAGTGGTGTTCTGTATTGTCCTTGTTGGGCCTGTCCAGTAGTAGGTGATTTCTGGGTACCCGTCTTGCTCTGTCAATCTGTTTCCTCACTTCCCCAGGTGGGTATTGTAGTTTTACAAATGCTTGATAAAGATCTTGTAGGTGTTTGTCTCTGTCTGAGGGATTGGAGCAAATTCGGTTGTATCTTAGGGCTTGGCTGTAGACAATGGATCGTGTGATGTGTCTTGGATGGAAGCTGGAGGCATGTAGGTACGTATAGCGGTCAGTAGGTTTCCGGTATAGGGTGGTGTTTATGTGACCATCACTTATTTGCACTGTAGTGTCCAGGAAGTGGATCTCTTGTGTGGACTGTTCCAGGCTGAGGTTGATGGTGGGGTGGAAATTGTTGAAATCCAGGTGGAATTCTT